AAGTGGTAATAGTGGATGTATACGTATGAGTATATACATGTATTGACTTCAGTGAAGAGAGTCTACTAAAGAAAGAGATAAAATAATCCGAATGTTCTCTTTGCGTGATCGCATCTTGAACAGCACAACGCTTTCCAGTTTCTATAGAATTCATTGAATTTGTGTAAATAATCAAAATATAATAAAAAAAATTTTTACTCAACTTCCTTTATTTAATAAAAATTGCCAAAAAACTTTTTTATTTCTTTATGGTCAAAGTGGTCTTTTCCCGCAAAATTCAATTCAAAAAGACCATATTCTGTAGCAGCATACATATGGGTACTGTCAAATTCTAGAGAATTTATACCTGAATACATTTTATCCACAACATACGTCTAAAAATATTTAAGACAGTTAATAATAATTGACTAATAAAATACAAGAAACAAAAACTTTGAAAATAACACAAACTTGAATGGTAACACTCTGTCTCTGATCCCATAGAACAACCATACGATGCCCCGTCATAAAAGTGTACATATTATCTGATGAGCAACAGAATAAACGGTCATATTTGAAAGAATCCCATGTACGTACAATATCGAATGTTCTAAAATCACAGTAACAAATATAAATGAATTGAATAGCTAATTAATATTAACAATAAATTTCTTACCTTATATCCATTTTTTTAATAGAATTTTCAAAACACATGAGAATAGTGTGAGGATCCTCCCATAGTAGTTGCTGACAACAATCATCACATGTTTTATTTATTACCTGATAACTAAAATTTCTTTACATTAGTTTGTTGTATATTATTCCAAATATACGTACTTGATTAGGTTTATATGTATTATATTTTTGCAGTCTCATATTTTTTTAGAATTTTTGGGTTATTAAACCATTCTTGTAAGTTATAATTAAAAATGTTATTAAATCGGATCATATAATAGTGTCTGTATAAACATAGTCCAAGAGTGCGTTCACACGGCAACGTTAATTGGGTTTCATAACTACGGATGTTACTAAATCCTATTGAGATTGACGTGTAAATGTAGTCAATGTTTAATCGAACATTTGTAGAAACCGACTAATTAATTGAAACATAACTTACTTTTTATCAATATCGTAAATTAGAAACGACGATTTACAATAAAAGTCAGTATGATTAACGGAACTAGCCGCAAATTTTGTTCCTATAGGGTCAAATGAGATTGATTGCATATAAGATTTGGCGCCTCCACATAATATTTCGTTTTCTACCGTACAACCTTTTCTATCATCTGTATATTTCAATATCTGCAAAAACAAACTTTTTACATACTACATTAACATAGCATTATTGCATTTTTTCTTTAAACATACCTTTATTAAATTTCCAGAACCAGCTATAATGTGTTGCAATGTTGCGTTTATTTGTTGGATTTCATAATGAAGATTATGTATTTTTAAACGTTCAAAAAAAAAATCATTTTGATTATTCCTAATTTTCCAGCGGTTAATAACACCATTTCTACAAGAAATTTTGTCAAAAATAAAAAAAAGAAATAAACATAAAACGCAGTTCATAAATAAATACTTACATGTCGCCACTTATAATATAATTATCGCAAAGAGCAAAAGATTTAATCAAAGCGTTGTCAGTACTCAGAATCTTTTTACCCGTTTCAATGGTACCGTTCTCTGCGCGATTATAAGCAAGAAGTTTACTGTTACAAGAAAAATAAATCTTATTTTTAGTCATTTGTACGCATGTATTATTAAATACATTATCTATATAGTCTTCCTTTACGTTATATATTTGTCTTTTTTTATATCCTTCATGTAGCCAGTTGTAATTTGTAATAAATATAGAATTTTGATATAAAGATAATTGTGGTTTACATCTGTGAAAGAAAATATGACATGTGTTCTTCAATGTAATGTTATGTAAAATCGTAAATATTTATTCTTGAATATATATGAGAATTATTTCTTTAGGATGCAGTT